TTGCTCCGAAGTACAGCTTCACGGGAATCCCCTGGTGGACTACCTGGGTGGCCTCGGTCAGGCGGCTGGTATCCGAGGAGGCATTCCAGGACATGGACTACTTGCTCCCGACGGTGAGCAAGGACTTTGCAGGGCTGATTCCACGGCCGTCCACACCGGAAAGGGCTCTGAGATGGCTCAAAGATGCTATTCTCCGCCGGGGTGTCACCGGGGTTGGTGAAGCCGCTGTCGTGGCACTCGTTCCGGGTGTTCATCCCGGACTGCGCCTTCCAGATGGGGATCCCCCGGGAGCGCCGCATGTACCTGGGCAACTGGCTCACGGAGAGCACGGCAGATGTCTACGTGCGGGAGAAGCGCAACGTGGTTGTGGAGATCTGGGGCCAGGTAGCGCAGAAGGTCCCCAACCTGAACCTCGGGCCAGGCAGGGAGCGCAGGGAGGACTTGAATCACCCGGACTGGGCGGACCCGCTCCCGCCACCAGCAGTGGACATCACGGACGCAGGACCGGAGGGCCGCGGGACCATATTGAAAGGGAAGGGGAAACATCCCCTTCGGTACCCTCAGGGAGCGCACCATCGGCTCGATCATGGTCAGTGGTGGAACACGAACCTGGGGACACACCAGTGAAGGCCAAGGACCTGTTTCCAGCCACCCCGGACCTCCCCCTTCGGGTGGTGGCGGCGGTCAAACGCTCGGGCAACGCCGGCCAGTCCAGAATCCACCTGCTGAATGCTGAGGGCACGGCTGTGGGATGTGGCTGGCGACCAGCGGCTTCTAAGGTCCAGGAGCTCTCGGTGCTGGATTACATGACGGAGCAGGAGGCCTATGGCAAGTGCGAACGCTGCTTCAAGCAGCATGGTTTCCCGGCGGACTGGGCACTGGAGCCGGCGGAGGTCCCCACGCTGCAGGAGGACTCGGACTCCTCAGCGGACTCAGGCTCCGAAACGGATGACTCGGTGGACACCCAGTCGGAGACCGAGGTGGTGGCCCTACCTTTGGTAGCCTAGGTGCCCCCCCTGGCGACCAAGGGGATGGGAGGCCCGGAGAGGGGCCATGGCCAGGGCCCTCAGCACAGCCTGGCATCCTTCGGAAATGGCGGGTGTGCCAGACTGTCCTTCGGAAATGGCGCTATCAGTCTGCACACCCGTTCTTCAGTTTTTGAGAATTGTGAGTTGGGTGGCCCATGGGGCCCACCCAGCGTTGGTCATCTGACAGGGGAAGATGAGTCCCTGGCACCAACACACTGCTCGGATGAAAGAGTTATCGCGTGCTCGTGTGTGGTGCCGTTTGGTTAGCTTGCATACACTTTGTTAATGTTGAAACGCATGTGGAAACATGAACTGTGTTTGAAATGCTTGACCATAATGGCCCCGGCCATTTTGGCTCAAGCTTTGTTCTTGGGTTCTCTGAACCCAACTTGTGTGAAAAACCCACCCACCCACACCAAGGTCGGGGGTCATGGCGGCCAAACCCCCGGATGAGGTCCCAGAAGAGTTCAAGGAGGACGTGGCCAAGCTGCACAAGCCATTGGCGGCCATCCTGGTGGGGAAGCAGATCCCCTGGGCAGCCCAGGCAGCTATGGGCGCATCGGGATACGTCACGGTGGAAGACCTGGCGGATCGCTGGGACACCCCAGCGGCGGCTAGGGAGAATGGTCCCCGGGACCTGGGATTCCGGGATGGGGAGAACGGGTTCAATGTCCAGACCTCGGCCTTCACGGCGATGCGCCTCCTGCAGGCAGTCCGGGTGGCAGCCAGCTTGGTCCGGGGGGGCAACCAAGGGGATCACCCGGCGGGCCAGGCGGGCCCGACAAAGGCGCCCCTGGAGGTCCTGTGTGACAGGCGCCAGCTGGAGGATGCTTACGTGGCCATTCATGGGACCCCGAAGCCGAGGTTGGAGTTCCAAGGGAGTGATGGCTACCTCAAGAAGCAGTGGCGCTTGATTGCCAAGGGTGAGCTGGGCTACATCCCGGCAAAACACATCGTGAGCGCGCTCCCGGAAGAAGGGGAACGCCCCTCATCCACCCACAAGAAGATCACGGTGGACGGCTGGGACAGGGAGGATGAAGAAGAGGTGAGGAGCCACCCCACATCCCGGCGCCAGTTGGAACGTTTGCACCAAACTTTCAGGACGACGCTCCTGATGTGCACGGCGGCACTGCCACAGTTTGGCAACCTGAAGGTCACCAAGGCGGAGCTGGACGATTGGTATGACTGGTTCTATGGGGAGGACATCGCTGGCAGAAGGCCTCCCCCGAGTGACACTACCTTGCTGTTTGCAGAGCGCAATGCGTGGAGGAAGATCCACGAGATGGTGCACCAGGGCACCACCCTCTCCGATGCCCTCAAGAATATCAGGGGCGACTTCCTCTTCTGGCAACGGGAGGTCTATGAGCACCTCAACAGGGCGCCGGAGAAGGGGAAGAACAAGGGCAAGGCACCTAAGGTGTGGCAGACTCAGTGGGAGAAGCCGAAGAAGGGGGGGAAAGGCGCATGGCCCTCGGGGCCGACCAGGTCCAAGCCAAAGGGCAAGGGCGGCAAAGGGAAATCCCCCAACTCCCCCTCGGTTCCATGGCCGGACCACTGGGCTTTCAAGAATCCCAAAGGGGTGGCGTACTGCAGAGATCATCACCTCCACAACAAGTGTTCGGGATCGTGCGGCCGTTCCCACAACTGCCCGGTCAGGAAGGATGGGTGGGTGTGTGATGCCCCCCCATCGAAGCATGCTCCACAGGCATGCCCTCACCTTCCCAAGTGACAGGAGGCCACCCAGGGTGCCATAGGCCCCGTGGCTTCCCGGTCTCAGTTGGGATCTCAGGCCACCAGTGCGAGAGTGCACACAGAGGGGGAGAGCCAGCCCCACCAGAGCCACAGCGGATGGCAGACAGAGCGGGGGAGGCCAGGACGGCCTCAGATGGGAGGGGACTTCTCCAGGGTGCCACCGGCCCCGGAAGCCCCTCCACCGAAGAAGAGGAGCGGTCCCAGCCAGGGCACTCCAGAAGGGCGGAAGCATCCCTTTCCCCCGCACCCACCGAGGCAGTGGGTAGACCCCCCAGAGAGACCCAGAGGTGAGGATCCGCCCAGCAAGGGGCGCTCCAAGGGCGGGAAGAACCGCCAGGGCAAGCATCAAGCCCGGGGACAGATGACGGGGGGATCAGACAAAGGTAGCACGGAATCCCTAGGGGGGGCAAGCCCCACCTTCCCATGGATGCAGGACATCCCGGAAAGACTGAGGCTCAGACTGGGGTGGACGCCGAGGCCAGTGCCGGGGTCTTCAAAGCCATCCCTCATCCTGCTGTACGCTGGGAAGGATGATGCGGGGGCCCTGGATGCCTACCTCCATGCCTACAACCCGGCCTTCTCGGAGTACATTTGGGCGGTGGATATCAGGAGAAAGGGTGGAGACCTGGGCCAGGACATGCTGGGCGAGGAGCCTTACTCGACGATGTGCTCCATGGCCATGGCGGGTAAGGTCGCATTGGTGGGAGGTGGCCCCAACTGCAGGACGTGGAGCATCCTCAGGTGGTTCCCCAAACCGGGTGGCCCGCCGCCGGTGAGGGGCAGAGCAGAGCAGACCTTGTGGGGCTTAGAGGACTTGGAGCCCCGGGTTAGGGAGGACACGGACAATGACAGCGTGCTCATGCTCCGACAGATGTACCTGACCTCGCTGGCCTACAAGGGGCTAGGTCAGCTAACGGTCCCGCAGGTTGGCTCCTCCTTCCTGGAGCACCCGATGGACCCGATGGAGTGCAGCAAGAGCCCGAGCGCAGCGAGGTGCTCATCGATCTGGGTCACGCGGGCCTACGTTCAATGGGCGAGTGCACTCCACCACTCCCTCATCAAGTTCGATGAGTGCCGCCTGGGCCAGGTGGTTGTGAAGTCCACGGCGTTGTCAACGGACCTTCCTCTCCACCATTGGCATGACCTGCGTTGCAACCACGGGTCTCACCCCAGGGGAGAAAAGCTCAACTCCAGTGACCTCAGCCGGTACCCGGAGCAGATGATGCAGGGTCTCGCAGCGGCCATCCTTTGCCGAGCGGGACCCGTCCTGGAGGCGCTGAGGCCGGGAGGCATGGCGCCCCAGGCTAACCCAACGACCCCCCCGAGGCGTCCAAGGGAACCTTCTCCCAGCACGCCGGGGGACAACAAGCGCCAGTCCCGAAGGCTGAAGGCGGGCCAACAAGCGTTGGCAGGTCTGACCTTGGGCTCACTTCCGGTCTCGGCCTCGGATAATCCAGAGGCGGGGACATCGACACAGAGGACTGGCGAGGTGGATGAACTTGGGGGGGGAACTCTTCCCCTGGATCCATGGGCACACCAGGGCATGGAGATCTCGGATCGGCCCACCATCCTGCCGATCACGCACGACCCCAATATCTCCGACAAGGTCATGTACCTCCAGATGGCTTTCAAGCAGCGTCCCTTGGTGGCAGACCCCCCTGTGGCCTGGGTGCCACGGGCCCCGGCTCAGGGGCGGGCGCTATCAGTCTGCACACCCGTTCTTCAGTTTTTGAGAATTGTGAGTTGGGTGGCCCATGGGGCCCACCCAGCGTTGGTCATCTGACAGGGGAAGATGAGTCCCTGGCACCAACACACTGCTCGGATGAAAGAGTTATCGCGTGCTCGTGTGTGGTGCCGTTTGGTTAGCTTGCATACACTGTCAGAATTACAGAGTTCAAAATGACCGGTCGGCAGATAGCACAATAGGTATGTCAGAGCCAATGGCTTGTTGCGTTTCACTTGCCACTGGCCATCTATGCCTCAGGATGTTGCATCTTGTTGAAGTGGTACCAACAATTACGTGGGCAGGGCACCTAGTCAGTGGTGAGTAAGCCTGGGTAAAACCCACTTAATTGCCATGGTTGTAGGAGACACATACCCAGAAGTGGGTGATTTCACCAGGCTTCCCAACCACTTACCTGAGGTACCGGATCGATCGCACCTTTAGCCAAGCCCGGCAGAGTCTTCAGACTTCGCTTCGTTCGGCTGCATGAGCCGTAGGACTCTCGAGAAGAAAGGGGCGGATTAGCCACCGAAGAGGCGGGTTGGGCGGAAAGCTGCGGATTTGGGCGGGGGGTTGGGGGGAGGTCACGAGGTCACACCCCTCGCCTTTGAACGTTTGAACTGGGGCTTGCAACTGGTGGGCTTTTTGGTCGATGTGATTCGGTGAAACCGCAATTCATTCTCTGCCTACAGATAAAGACACACTGCAACAACACGACACGATTGATTGTTTCGGGTACAGCTATGCCCCATGGCCCATTCCTCAATCTGAGAAACCATTTTCAGAAGATGCCACAGGAAGGTAGCCAGACACATGGCTGAGTTCCAGTGGAATTTGCTGCTAGTTTCTTGTCAGGACCTAGGCATCGCCCTCAGACTGAGCTGGGCGTGGGTCAAAACCAATGGGATCCCATTTTGGGCTAGGTGCTTTTTTGGAACCTATTTTAGTGGGGATTGGGATGTTCAGTGGGGGTTTTGACCCATTTTAGTCGAATTTAGTGATTGGATTGGGATGTTCACTGGGGTACGATTTGGCTTTTGACCCATGGCTCCGACTCAGATCAGTTCCCCGCCCCGGCCAGATCCAGCTGCTCCGTGACTTTGCCTGGCTCGCCATGCGGCCTGGCACGCATTAAGTTCGCGCTCGCGATGGGCCTCACGTGCGCGTCGGCCGTCGGCCGGCCGTGTGCTGCACGACGTGTCTGGGTCCCCCAGTAGTGCCAACTTTTACATGTTTTTTTTTGTTGGAATGTCTAGGTCCCCAAGCTAGGGGCCAACTTTTACCAACACTTTTTTTGTTCGGAGGAATCCCCTTTGAAAGGGAGGGTTCCCCTAAAATAGACTGCAGCAAAAAAGTGGGTAGCCTTATTCCAACCTCTCAAATCTGGTTTGGACCTAGACGTGCGGCTTCTCGATGTCCGCCCTTTGTGCATTTCAGCATGGAAGCCCCCGAAAGCGGCCCAGGGCACGGGCCTTCCAGTTTTTCTGCACCGAGTGTATCTGGATGCAAAAAGGGTACGGGTCAAAATACAGCCAGGAATCGGGCCGCAGGTGTTAGTCTTTGGTTCCATCTACCAGGGCAAGCCATTTTGGGTACGCATTTTTAAAACCCATTGCCAAAAAACGGCACAAGCTGTAAGATTTCAAGGAGAAGGACGGAGCTGCCACATGTCCAGCGCTTTTGATTGTGCAGCCCGTGATTTTGGTTTTGGGTAGCTCTCCTGTATGTATGGCACCCCGCTCTTTTGCGGTTTTTGCAGGTGCGGGTGTGGCCTTCCAATTCTTGGGTCGGTGTGTCCCGGTTTTTTGGGGGGGCTCGGTGTCCGTTTAGTTTCCCTACACCCACAAAAAGACGAGCAGCCTCAAAAAAGAGACAGCCATACAGCAGACATCGTGAAGCAAGACTAGGTCCCCCAGTAGTCATTGGAGCGTGAAGCAAGGGAGTCCAGTCTCTTGAATCAGACCAAGTCCAGTTTTGCCAGCGGCGGCTGGGTTTCAACCTGAAAGCGTTTTGAACCGCTTTCCCGGCCGGCGCCCAAAACATCTCCCATCCGCATGAGCCAGCTCATGGCAGAGGGTTGCCCAGCATCGTCTTACCTCATGCCGGCAAGACCAGAGGGAAACCGGGAATCCAGAGGGAATCCAGAGGGAAACCAGAGGGAAACCAGAAGCTCGAAGAGCCCCCCCAAATTCGCGTTTCAGGATCCATGTCCCCTGTTTGATGCGTGGAACGGAACCCGGAAGCCAGGCTTACGGCCTGCTTCTTCTTCGAGATGCGCTTCATTGTGTTGCCCGGAAGAGAGGATGGGCATGGGACATCCGCGATTTTTCAGTAATGTTGACCCAGGATTAATAAACCCGTCCCACTATTAGGGGGGTGTTCCCTCCAACAGTGGTCTGAATCCCCACTAAAAGGGGACACCCCAAATAAAAATCAACCAGGGGTTCTGCTTAATCCGGGGTTAACGTTATAAGGACCCCTGGGCTGTCACATGCTTTGTGTCCGTCCAAAGGGCCAGTCAGCCGATTGAGTCCCAGTCCAAACCGTGAGCCCCTCACCCTCCCTCCAATGATTCCTGGAAGCTGACGATCGGCGGGAAGACGATGTTGGTTGTGAACTCTGTAGAATTCCATGATTGGTGGAAAGAGGGGTGGGTCCAACTCATCTTGCCTCTTCTCAGCACGGAATGAGAAATGGAGTCTGACCCCGAGATGAACTATTCGTCCATCCTCTGGTTTCCCTTCAAGGTACTCTCCGGCTTAATTCCCAGCACCCGCACTCGTCGTCGGTCCCTAGCCATCGCATGGTCAATTCGCGCCTCATTTTGCCCATTCGCAGAAAGGCCGAGTCGCGGCTCCCTGACAGAGTTCGCCGGCTCGTCGGTCCCTTTCGGCGGGTCGCGATCGGAGGGGCCAACCGCAGGTTTTGGGTAACCCATGTTTCCACTTACCATTTTGGTTCCATTTTGGTCCATGTTTCCAGGTTTTTGGTTCCATTTTGGAATTCCGGTCTTTTGAGAAACAGCCAAATGGGATTCATAGAAAAACTTGGCGTGGCCCGGGAGAGAGATGCGTCGGAGAAAACGGCCGTGCTGAAAGCGTTGAGAGACCTTGTTCCTAAGCCGGGCGTGCAAGGCTGGAGTCTGGGAATCATTCTGGACATGAAGCATCCCTTCGCCTTCTTACCCTTTTTGGTTCCTCCCTCCCTTTTTTTTTGGGGGGGGGAGGAGGGAGTTATTCATTATTAGAGGGAAGGGATGACTTGTTGCTCATCGATTCCAATTCGATCTTCCCTGCTATGAAACCGAGAGCGCGCAACCCCGCCGCAAGCGAGCGCGAGCCGAGAGCCGAGGCCCTTGATCGCCGACTTCGAGTTCGGCGTCTCGTCCAAAGAGTCGATCCGTCTTCGGGCGGCCTCGTTTTTTCCGACGGTTTCCGCTGGTGCGAAATCGGCAGGGGCCTGAGACATGGACTTTAACCCGTTTTGGGGGGTCTTCTTAATGAAGGAACCACAAGCTGGATGTTTCTTTTTTTTTTGGGGGGGGTCGTTCAATTTTTAAAGGGCTCCTGCATCTCTCGCACCAAGGCTATTTGTGTTTCAAAGAATATCTGGCCCACAATACCCATTCCCTCGCAGCGTGTTTCTGGCCTCAGCGGTAAATGAAGAGGACTCCCTGTTGCTTGCAGGGCAAACCGGCATGTTAGTTTGTTTGTGTTGGCATTTAAGCTTGCACGGGGGAATTAGCAGCTTAATACCTTAGAACCAGCGCAATACTCGAGACAAACCTTGTTGCCAGCACTCACTGCAAGGCACTGCTATGTGTGGCTTTGTTGGTTCACTATTGTTGGAACCGGTGATATATGGAAGTGTTCCAGTGACCTTCCTACCACCCCCGTGACACAATCACAATTCTGACCGCAGGGGGTGCGCTATGAAAGATTAACACAGGCGCGCACACATGGAACCTGCTTCTGCAGCCAGCGTGCAAGCGACATCGACGCCAGGGTGAGAACAGTGAACACGTGTTTGGACATGTTCTTTATGCCAACTGGAAGGCGACAAGCTACTAGTTGGCATTCCGAGCCCTGAATAGAGGTGATTGCATATCGGGTATATATGTCTCGTTTGGAAACAAAGGCGATTTCTACTTCCCGCCAGCGTGGCGGCAACGCCGCACGGCCAAGGAGCATTCTGCGGGGACACGTGTCAGATCCGTGCCGGGCCCAGGGGATTGGGCTTTGGTTGAGGTCAGCTTTGGCTCCTCGGAAATGTGCAGCATTCAGGTGTCCGAGTTGTTGAAGCAAGCTTGAGTCATTTGCCTTGGCAACTGGAGGTCGTTCAGCTGAATGAGTTTAGAGGCGTTCGATGCAAATTCGGCCATGTGACCATACTGCGTTAAACACATTCGTCTCCCCTTGGTGATCAGAAGGTAGACGGACATTCTAAAACCAGCCGCCAGCGGATTGGTTCCCACCTAGAACTCGGCTTCCATCAAAGTCCGACGTGCGAACCACGTGCGCTGATGTGCCCTCCTTGGAGTGGTGAATTCGTGGTAGGGCTTGGCTTCTGCCGGATCTCCGTACTCGTTTTTTGTTTTTTGTTTTGACATCATGCATCTGACCGGCAAGATGTGTGTCTTAAAATTGTGTGCCCCCCCCCCCCAAAAAAAAAAAGAGAAGCACTTCGGTTTTCCTGCTGGTCCGCCGTTTTCCTGTTGGTTTCCCTTTAAAACCCACGAACAAACACCAAGGGTACCCGCTCCAAAAAAAGGGAACCCAGCCCACGGCAAATATCTCAGCGCGCCACGGCATGGGGTGCGTGGCCGAACGCGTTTCGCCTGTGAAGTCGACGATCCAGGGGACGTATTTCGCCGCATTTTTAGGTGCACCAAGTATTCAGAAGAAAGGCAAATTGGTGTCTGCTTACCAGCGTCTCTGCCCGCAGGAATTCACAGCTCATGGGAAACCAGCTTCGTCACCGAAGGTGAATGAATCACGGCTTAGAGTGAAGGTATTCTTGAGTTGGGAGGAGCTGATGTAGAATCTGGACCCCAAATATATGAAGCTGAATGGGCATCAACACTCTTTCGTTGCTTTCAAGAGTGACTCTGGCTGAATATTTTTATTTTTGCGCCTGCTGTTTGAACAGAACACCTTCCATTCAGTTTTGTCGGTGGATGTGACAAGCACATGACGGATAGATGCAGGCCCAGGCTTTTGTCATCCTTGCCAAGTGGAGATGTGGGTAAGTCGTGATCCTCGCCTTGTGCTCCAGTGGTCAAGCTCCGGCGACGCATTTGCAGGATATTGGAACCCTGTCTGTGCCTATGGATATCGGGTAAAGTCCAGGGGCCTGCCTTCTACGAAACTTGACTGGAGGTTGGACGCGGTTTTTCTCAGCTTCCAATTCTTTCTGGCGCAGCTAGGGAATGGCAAGCCGTTCCGCTTTGGGTGTTGGGAATGAACCGTTTGGTTGGATTCCCTTAAAGGTTCATTCCAACTCATTAAAGGAATGGAATGGAATGGATCCAACCATGGAATTGGAATGGATCCTTCATTCCTTTAATGGAATGGTTTGGTTTGGTTGGGAATGAGTTTACCTCGCCATTCCAACTCATTCCCCGCCTATCGAACCGATGGTTCAAGTCCAGGTCCTTAAGCCTGAGACTCAGTTGTTCAGTGGCTCCCTGTTTCCCTGTTTTTGTGGTGGCTGCCCCACTAAAATGGTCCAAGCCCAAAAAAGGGTTCCCTTCTTTTTTCTCAGGGTCACTGAACAACTGAGGAGAGGCCGGAACACAATTCTTTTTCTCAAGCTGTCAGCTTCCCATTTCGCTCGCCTGGCACCCTTCCTGGCGCTCGCAACGTCCGAGGCCACACGAAGCACTTCCGGCTGATCACCAGCGAGTGCTTCGCCTGCAGTGGTGGCCTGGCGCTCTGCTGGAGCCTGGTGATCCTCACTGGCTTCTTCGAGCCTCGGAATGTATGGACTCCATACGGCTGTGGTGGTCTTTTGGTCCGTTTTGGGACCCCATTTTGGTTGGGATAGGTGAAGTCACCACCCATTTTGGAACCTATTTTAGTGGGGATTGGGATGTTCATTCTGCAGGAATGTATACCCATGCTGCCTAGGTGCCCGACCTCTCACCCCTTTGTTGGTTGGGAGGTTTTTTTCTAAAATCGACTACAGACAAAAAGTTGGTACCCTTACTCTAACCTCTCTATTGGAGGACCTAGATACCCATACTGCATGTGGTTCCGAAATCCATTTCGCAGCACTTTGAACCCATGGTTGAAACCATGGTCGAATCATTCCAGGGTTTCTGGGGTGGTGCAGGATTTCGTCGATCCACAATAGGTGTGCTTTTGGTTTGGTTGACACGTAGAGGGCCCCGGTTTACCCAATGGTTCAATCATTTACCAGGGCCATCTATTCTCCAAAAAGGACGCCTATGATTATACCCCTTTCGTTTGAGCCGAAAAAAGGGTCCCTCTATCTTTTCGCGAAACACGCAGTGATGCAACGAAGGTGGCGGCCATGGGTTTGCATAGAAAGAATTGGTTGAAAAGCCTCACCAGAGACCAAAGAGTCGCAGAAAAGTCGCGGGTGCTTTTTCTGCAAAGGATTCGTCTTGATATTCGAAGCTGGAGCTACCACTTGTGAAAACAGAGCAGCGGAAGCCTTTGGGGCGAGATGAGGGAAGGGATTGTTCCTATGAACGGAGACTTATAACTGATCACCATGGCTTTTGTGGGTTATGACCTGGCTTACTAGTCACTTATTAACTATCCTACCCATTTAAGTCCCCTTTGCAATGGCGTTCTGAGAACGCTCACGGTATTTGCCGAGGATGTCTACTACATCTTCTACGCCACCTGGGTGCATCTAGCAGACCTGAACGTTTTCCAAGAGAGAGCCCCATTTGTCCCACCGACTTTTTTGCCCTGACCGGCAGGCTGGTGGCAAAGTTGATGTTGGATGACTGGCGCCTGTGTGTCGTTGCGAAAGTGTTGAACTTGCTTAGACGAGGTGGTAATATCTTGCTGCACTGAGGGCTAGCCATAGTTCCAAGGAATTTGGGGGTTTGCTGGGGCTTGCCGTCCAAGCAAACTCTCAGCCAACCTCGACATCTTCACCGAATCACTTTGTGAAGTTTGGAGCTACACTCCCTCAGACTAACAGCCGGACGGTCCCCCAATTGGCCTCTGTAAATGGAACCAGTCTTCCATTTCGGGGTCCTGGAGCTTCCATGGAATCGTCTGGAGGGTATCTCAAGTCTCCAGAAACCCAGCTTACCACAGGGGAATCGACTCATTCCGTGGGGGTTTCTGAACGGTGGTGCCGAAGAGAATTTCGCAAACCATCCGTATCTCAAAAGAAGCCCAGCCTGGTTCAAGCGACCAAACGACCCAGACCGCCGGGAAAAAAAAAACGCCTCGCGCTGCGAGGCTGGGACGGCCATCTTCGGCTACGGCATCCCTCCCGGGGAAGGGCTGCAGTGGTTTGAAGTTGGCGTGCGGAAGGCGGTTCCCAGGTGAGTCTCTTGGCTCCCAGCCATCCGGTCCCTTAGCTTTTTAGATCTTTTGGTGCTCCGTGGGGATGACAATTTAGCCCGCCAAAAGTTGACTATTTTTTTCGCAAGGGATTTGAGGCCGAAGGGAATATTGATCAACACCCATGTGTGCCATGGTCAAAAGACTCCGTTTCTTTTAGGGGTACCAGGAATGGTCATGGGTTGTGAATAGTGCATTTAGATCACCATTGCAAGGGTTGCTACTAAGGGAACCACGACCAGGCCGCAATATGGGGAGTTGAACACGGCTCATTTGAGCTCATCTTTTTCTAACACCCAACGAACGAAGCGTTGAACAGAGCCGCCAGCACATTTAGCTGTGGGTCAAAAATAGGTACCCAAAATGGAACCCTGGTAAATGGAAGCAAGGACTAATAGCCGCGGTCCGATTCCTGGTGGTTTTATTTGACCCATACCCAGTTAGCCACTCTTTGTGGCAGCGCCAGTTTGGGGGTTACGATTCGGAGACCTCGAGGAAGAACTGAGCACGCATTGCCAAACATGAAGCAAGATCAGCTTGAAAGGCGTCAACAGCTGTCAGCGTCTTTTGCAAGCCTGCAAGTCTTTGTTGTTTGGCTGGATGGGTGAATCATGAACCTGGGATGTTGTTCAAGGCTTGCGGAGGCTTGCGGAGATATACAAGGTGCATACGCATGCGCACACACACACATACCGACACTGCTCGGGGGGGTTCGAGGCAGACAATCCAGACTCCATCAAAGCCACTATGATTGTGCAATGTCGATGCATGCCAAGCAAGGAAAGCACAAGCACACCGATCCTTTTGAGAGATTTCAGCAAACACTTCAAGCAAAGAAGGCACTCTTCAAGCGCCCCGCAGGTATGGGCGAATGGCGAGGCTTGCGCAACGCCCCTTGGCTCAGAGCGTCTCTGTGTTGCCCAGGACACTCAATGGGCATTAAGTGAGTTGTTGAGTAACCTCCTTTCGTGTTTTTTTTTGCCCTGTGACAGCCATTCGGGGAGTAGTGGGTGATCTGTCCGGGTTTGGTCTTACTGTAGACTGGTCTGGACCGCTTCGGTGGCGTGTAAAACTCGGAGAGAGAGAGAGAGAGAGAGGCCACGGTGATTCCATTTTGTCGCGCCAAAGCCAAGGTGCAATGAACCACACCTACACAGCTTTGTTGTCAAGGAAGGAATCCCGAGGACAAACGTTGCGCCAGTGTTCAAGTTCAAAACCTACCGGGCCATTCATTTGGCTGTGGCTCAAAAAAAAAAGGTACCAGAATGGAACCCAGGTAAGTAGAAAAATGGGTTACCCAAAACCTGCGGTTTGCCCCTGCTGTTTAATTTTGAGCCACAGCCATTCATTCGCTGACTCCTCCTTTTCCAAAGCCGGCGAAGATGATGTCCGACTGGTGGCCGTGGATCTTTCCGAGCCGAGGTGCTGGCTACTGCGTTGCGACATCTGGAGCGGGGGATGGGGTTCGATGGGAGAGGAAGGTGGGGCCAGAAGCTCAACTAGGTCCCCCAGTAGTGCCCTTTCTCCAACCTTTTTTGGTTGGGAGGGTTCCCCTACTAAAATAAACTACGGAAAAAAGGTTACCCTTATTCCAACCTCTCTACTGGAGGACCTAGTCAACTTAACCTTCTCGAGTCAAACACTTGTTTGCTTTTCGGTCGAGATCGAGTTGACGCCTCGCAACTTGGCAGTTGGAGTTTTGAGCAGAAGTATCAACTACTGAAAGGGGCAGATACTGAGTAAGTGATGAGTGAGCCTGGTTATACTGTGGAGTATAACCATCAACTACAACAGTGGGGCCTGGTTATACTGCTATACTCCACATAGACTTCTAAGGACTTACCCTGCCTCTTTGAGTACAGAGCTGCCTGTTGCAGCCATGCGTTTGCTCCGGAGCTTTGCTCATTTTTTTTTAATTTTATTTTTCGCGGGCGCCTCGGACTCCAACCGTCACTCAGAGGACATCTTCAAACCAATCAGATGGCCCGGAGTGCGCAGCATTGAACCTGGTCAAAGAAACCCAGTATCCAACCAGTTGGGTATGGGTCAAAATTCAATCAGGAATTGGACCACAGGTTCTAGTCTCTGTTTCCACTTGCCGATGGGGCAGGCCATCTTGGAGCCGATTTGTGACGCGCAGCCAGGTTGGGATCAACCAATGTCGCAAGCTTTTTGCGAGCGGGGCCCCTTCTTTTTCTTACCTCTTAAAAACACGAAACTTTTCGTAACTTTTTGGGGGAAACATGGGCTATATGTCTGTAAAAGATGAGACCTTCCCCAGGGCGCAGGGAGTTTGAAGGGGTAAGTTTTGGGGGCGGAATGCGGCCTCGGAGTCACCCGCTCGGAGCCTTTGAAATTGGGAAGCTCGCCGCGCGCAATGCAACGGGTCATGCCCCAAAACAAGCATCTCACTTCCTGAGTTCATGACCTTTAAACTTTTGGGGAAGACTATTTTGGTGGTAGATATAAAGTTTGGACTTTTTTTAGGCCATCCACTCAGCCAGTGAGAAGCATTCTTCGCACATCTGGCGGTGGTTGTCAAAACCGTTTTGGGATCCCATTTTGGGGCAGGTGCATTCACCACCCATTTTAGTCGGGATTTTAGTGGGGGTTGGGATGTTCACTGGGGGTACGGGAGATTGACCCATGGCCATGTCACAGAGAAGCATTCGCTGGTGCGATAGGCAGGGGATGAAGGAAGGACCCCTATAAACCATCCCGGGTTCATTCCCACATTCCCTACTGAGCACCAGCAAGAAACCACCCCCTCCATTCTGCATTTGTTTGACGCAAACACCATGCAAATGAATGAGGTACGCAGAAACCTCTTTGAAGCGATTCCGGGACTTGGACAGAGGTTCCTCCATTTCCCTGTGTGGATCACTCCAGAAGTGGCGGTTTCGATGGAGACCATCCGCAGATTGATCAACTTTTGATTCGAGGAAATCCAGCGACCCCTGCTTGAAGGAGCATTGTACGTAGTAAGCGGTTAGTAAGCCTAGTAACCCACATCTCCTATAACCATGGCCACAGTGGGTTATTTCACCCGGCTTACTAACCGCCTGAGTACTTTCAGTGCGCCTTTTTTCGTGTTCGACACCTACTCCGTTGCCCAGCGGGTTGCTTCCTTTTTGGGTTTCAAGGGTTCCCCTTGAAACTCCACCCAACCAAAACAAGTCGGGCGCCGCTTCCATCTCTTTTGGCCGGGACGTCCGCTGGCTGAGCGGATGTGGCGGGGATCCAGGACATGGACTCCGGTTCCACCGGCCGGGTGCCGGGCTATGAGCAGCGGAGAACTCACTCGCACCGGCTCCAGCGCGGGGCCCGAGGAACTCGAGGGGATCGGTTGGTCGCTCTCGACTTTTTTTGTTTTCGGCGCCAATTTTTGTGCAGTGAGATGGAGAAGGGGGTGGGGGGGGGGTGGGGGGTGCCAAATCTTTGGTGCATGTTGCTTGGATGCTAGGACTTTAACCTTTTTGCCAACTAGTGAGGTTTCCATTAAACCACTAAAAGTTGAGCTTTTAGCAGGGGAGCAGATTCAGCAACCAAGAAATGGTGTTGATCCCTGAGGAAGCTCGCTTTTTTGTGGCCCCGGCTTGAGGGTTCCAGTTGTTCTTTTGCAGGGATGGCAGTATGGCGCATTGTCGAATGTGTTTGACCTGCCCAGTGAGAGTGCAAACCACTTTTAAAAGGGTTCTCCGAACCATCGGAATGGGGCTCTTCCGTGGCCATCCATCACTGAGCATGTGTCGAAAGTCAGACCCAAAGGGAATTGATTCTTCAAAAGCGGCACCAACTTGAAGGATCACCTGCTTTAGGTCTGACTTTAAAAGTACCTGATTCTTGATCTGATTCCTGACCTGATTTAGGTTATCCCTTTTGACCTGATTCTTGATCAAGACGAGGAAGGGTCACCTGCTTTAGCCCTTCGTCTCCCTGCCTTGGAACAAAACGGGGGATTTGAATCCAACACGGCACGTGGCACAGCCGCATGAGAATGTGCCAGCACGTCAGCACGTGCAAAGCAGCACACAGACGTCTTCCATCTCCGCATCTGGGTCTCCATTGCGTACTTGGAGGGCGTAAGATGAGCTCAAAGCAGGTTTCTTGAGGATTTCTTCAAATTCACTTCTCCATGCCCCTTTTGCTTCTGTTGCAGATCTTGGTGGTAGCTGTTTTTTCAAGTGAGAACTAAGCCAGGTCCCCCAGTAGTGCCAACTTTTACCAACTTTTTTTGGGGAGGGTTCGGAACCCTACTAAAATAGACGAACCGGAAAAAAGTAACGGTACCCTTCTTCTAACCTCTCCACTGGAGGACCCAGTAAGGATGAAGTGGAGAAGGGTTCCACGCCCGCCGCCCAAAACCCCGAGGATCAGCGACGGGGCAGCCATGCAGATGGTCTTTGGCGTGTCCTGGCGCATGGTGTGGGGCCCAGGAGCCTTCCAAGATCGAGTTGCTGCACCCAAGTGTCCAATGCCTGTGGTTGTCAAAACCGTTTTGGGATCCTATTTTGGTTGGTAGGTGAATTCACCACCCATTTTGGAATCTATTTTAGTGGGGATTGAGATGTTCACCGGAGCTACGGCCATGGCAAAGTATCCAATGTCAACGGGCTTCGTTGAGCGCAGGGAGGACTCCCCGTTTGCTGTCAGACCATTCATCTTGCTTGTGCGTTGTGACCAGAGGATGCTCATGGTGCAAGTTGTGGAAGTAGGAGGCCAATCCAACCCAGCAAGCCCAATCCAATCCAGCAAGCCGAGCATTGCTTTCTGAAGTGTCTCATTCTCCACAGAGGTTGGTCAGCAACTGGCTGAAACCGGTATCAACAGCAATCAGGGAAGAAGTTCTCTAGCTTTCCGGTGTGCAACCACAGAATGGCCTAGAGTGGAAGGGCAGGACTTGAAACCAGGAAATACGGAGAAGGCAAATAGTTTGTTCATGTTGCTCATGTGTTCCAGTTTTACGTGCATGACACAGCGAATTGCCGTGTTCTATCAGCATCAGAACCTCAAACCTTCCCAGGCAAAGCCACGAGCCTTTGGAAGCCCCTTTTCCCCTTTTGGGCGTTCGAAAGTTCTCGTGGCGCAGGGAGTTTCGAAATAAAAGACCAGCGCTGGCTCTGCTCAAACCTCAGATATTAATGGACCGCCAAGGCAGGCTATGGGGGGGGGCTATCCCTGGATAAGCCCAGGATAAGCGAAGGAGAAGCCCTTGAGGCCTTACTAAGGGCTTAAGGGATAGCCCCCCAACTCCCCAGCTGGCCCCCCCCGGCCACGAAGATATGGCCATGGGTCAAAAGCCCGTACCCACGGTGAACATCCCAATCCCCGCAAAAATCCCGACTAGAATGGGTGGTGAATTCACCTACCGCTAAATGGGATCCCATTGGGTTTTGACCCACGGCCATATCTTTGTCTTCGCTTCAGTGGTTGGCCCGCAGGTGTGGAGCCGCATCGTAGAAGCCCTCTACGAGGCTCTGGGCGCTGAGCGAGGTCGAGTGCGAATCCACGCGGCTGGTTGGTGGTTTCGTTTGGTTTGCTGCCGAGCCGGAGCGAGGTGAAGAGCGTAGGGCCAATTTCTGTCTAAGGGCTTTCATCGCCATGACACATTGATGAGTTTAGGCCGTACTGTGGTACGTGGGGGCACTACTCAGCTTTGCAGAAGAAAAAACAAAAAACACATATGCTCCGATGGTATGTGAGATTGCCAATACGAGGCAACACAGCCACCCAAAGTCTCCATGATGTTTTGCGTATAGACGTATGGCTACGGCCAAAAAATCGGTAGCTTGAAATGTCACCTTGGCAAATGGAACCAAAGACAAACGCCTGCCTTGGTCGCTACCAGCCATCCCTTTAGCTTCTTAGCCTTTTAGTGTTTAGTGGGTATGTCCATTTAACCCACTAAAAGTCAAACTTTTACCCGGGGATCTGAGGACAGCCCAGCTGCGGTTTGCCCTCGCTCTCTCTAATTTTGAGCCACATCCGTTGCCTCGGTTTTCCTTTGGGGTTCCAACCAATTTCCGTGGCCCGCTGAGCTCTCCGCGGAAAAGTTTCGCCAGGACTGCGTGATCTCCTCCAGGGAGGCCAATGCAATGGTGCAGGTGCCCGGAGCGTCCGGTCGCACGCGGAAAAACAGAGATGAGTATGAGGACGCCAGATGGATTTGTGAGGACCAGATGGGTTTCTTGGGCAAGGAGATGGGGTTTTGAGTTGTGTTGGGAATATTTCGTTGTAGAGGCGTTGTTTTTTCCTTTTCATCTTCTTCTTTTTCTTTTCTTTTCTTTTTTTCTTCTGTGAGTTGAACGAGTTCTTGCTGAAGTTTGGCTGAAGTTTGGTCTGTAGGCGCGGGATGGATGTGCAACTTGCTTCAACCCAAGCTAGCAGATTTGAGCACACGGCAAGGACACTCCGCAAAGCCAAACATGCAACTGGGGTCTTCCCAAACGAACGCAGAGCTTGTAGGTTTCATCAAGGTAAAGCGCCGAAACGGAGCTTCCGACAATTGCAACGGCTCAGCGCCTGGAATGCGCCATCCTTTTGGGCGAAGGACATATTTGTAGAAAGGGCGCAAAGAAAGGAAAGAACATTCGCTCGTGCTCTAATTCTCACGAACCTTGTAAGGGAGTGAAGCGAATTGCCTCTTCCTATCTCTTCGCTTTGGAAATTCCATTTGCCTCTCAGCAGCTACCATGGAAGTGCACAGACCCCTGTGGAAAGACTACTTTCCTCTTGGAAAGGGTCTTTTTGCACTTCCATGTTAGTTGGTGGGAGGCTAGACTGATCGAATATACCAGATACTGAATCCTTTGGGCATCGGCTTGGGATTTGGATCGATTTGATGACCTGTCCCTTTCAGAAGCCTTTGGACGATTTGGCGATGGCAAGTGGATGAACTCCGTCTGATAAAACATGTGTCTGACCCGGTTGGCTCAGGTTGTGTGCGTTTTTTGGGGGGCGAGTGTCCGAGCGGCCCATTTTCAAGGGTCCATGGGACGTCCCTGCCAACATGGGACACCCCTTCCGACCGGCCAAATTTTCCAAGCGCCCACCGCCACTGCGCACGGGACTGGGCGCAAGCAGAGCCTTGCAGGCGGCCAGCACTGTCCGCTGGGCCTCAGAGACCAAGCGGAGTTTACCCAAGGACCAAATCAGCAGGCGGAGGGCTGGGGTTGGGCTGGTGTTGCCTCGGGTGATGCCAGTGGACGGTGTGTTTGGGTGGCCTCACTGTGGCGAATTTGGTCCTGTTTGTTGAGGAAATGTGTGTTTTCCAGGTACCCCGCCGCAGGTGCTATCTTAGTGGTAGCTGGCCCAAGCATGGCTTGTGTCACAGTCTGATTCAAACATGGCTGAACAGGTGGCGACTCTGCGTCCTGTGGGAACTAAAACGGAAGATTGAGGAGAGCGCCAGCTGAAGCATGGAATCTAAGTTGCCTCATGTTGCCTCATATCCACTGATCCGACGAGTTGTCCAAGAGTAATCTCTTGATGCTTTTCATGATTTGTACTTATTCATCGCAGATCTCTATTCTTGACATGTTGAATAGGTTGTTTTGTATTGCGAATGGCATCTCATGTACAATTATCTCAGTTTTTGCAAGATCCCCGCTGTGCCGCTTCTTTGGGCTTCTTCAAGGAGTGCGTGACATCGCGTGACAGCTGCTTCATTCTGGATGATTGGACTGGAAACTGGATGTTTGCTCTGAAATTGGTCGTGTTTGTCACCCCAAGAAAAGTGCCCCCCAAGACTTGAACAAAGAAGGGGGCAATATTTTGTGCGGCCGGTATACTTGCGGGGTGGGCTTTCCACAATTTCTCAGCTTTGGGGGGAATGGCAGCAACTGCGAGCGTGAACAAAGGACACCTCCTTTGAAGCAAGGGGTGTTCAGTGCTATGGGATGAGCACAGTGGCTGTGGCTGTGGGCATTGCGGTTTGCATTTGACCATCCCCTTGGGGGGGGGGGAGGGGGGAGAAAAAACCACTGCAGCTCGAAACTGTTGTTTGAATGAGGGCATTTGTTCAGAAGAGGTACACCTCTGATTTTGAAGCCAAGGCGCCTGTAACTGAAAAGGTTGGTGGCAAATGCTGCCAGTGCGATACAGCATGTCACCAGATGCCTCTGCAGGCCTTATCACGGGCCTACTGGAACTATCTTCTGATTTTTTCCAGGGGACGAACAATCTTCGCAAATGGAGGCTTGTGTGGCTGATTTGTCCACCATGCTAACGCCGCAAAAGAACAACTTGTCCTCCACCTGCAGGCCATTGGACTCACGCATCCAGAATGACCCATCTTTGCTTGTCTTGGTGGCGAAGCCAGCCATCCGGTTCGTTAGCCTTTCAGCTTTTGTTCGTGCTTAGCGGTTGGATTTCCGGATTCAACCCATGAAAAGTTCGTCGCTTTGCGCGGGGGATCTGAGGACACGGACAGCCCAGTTTTGGGAGAGATCTCCCCACACCTCTTTTTTTACAATTTAACGCTCACTTCATATGTTTGTGGGTCAAAAATATGTACCCAAAAATTGAATCCTGGTAAATGGAAACATGGACCAAAACCTGCCGTCCGATTCCTGGTCATTTATTTTCGACCCATACCCATATCGTCCAGAAGGAATAGATCATATCTGAGGGAGGGACAAGGGCTGACAGCGTTTTGTGCCTTCTAGCGTCACCTATCTTCAGGTAACCCCTATTTGGTGGTTTGAATTGGCGGTTTAGGGATTAGAACCGGTTCTTGTAGATAAATTGGACACCCCTAACCAAAAAACCACCGATTCGGCCCCAAAACACCCTTTTTGAGGGAAGCTGAAGGGTAGACCGAAACCCAGGGGACACCCCCAACCACCAAACCAACCACCAATCCAAACCATCAATCTTGACTGCTATTGGGTTGGATCTGTAGACTTTAACTTTTTGGGAAATCAAGTTGGTTTGCCACTAAAACCCACAACAGTGAAACACTTTTTGCAGGTCCCCAGACCTGGTGTCCGGGCCCCGGACCCGCCGATGTGTTTTTTTCCGGAGGCTGCGGTTCAGCGCCACGCAGCTCCGGAACGGCGGCGGGCCAAAGCCGGAGCCCTATGGCACTGGGGCCAGATGGAATCCCAGCGGGGTGCTTGAGAGCCCTTGTCGGGTTGCGTAGGGTTTGCTAGGTTTTGACAGGGTTTGCTAGTTTTTTTTAAGGGTTCCCTAGGGTTCCTTAGGGTTCCCGAGGTTCAGGGTTTGCTGGGGTTTGCTAGGGTTTGCTGTTTTTTTTTAAGGGTTCCCTAGGGTTTGCTGGTTTTTTCCTCTGCGGTTCCCTTGCGGTTCCCTAGAGTTCCCTAAAAAATCCCTAGGGTTCCCTGGGGTTCAACTGCTAAAGTCTCGCACCTCGCAATTCAGCTCAACTTCTCTTGGACTCATTGCGGAGTTTGCTCATGAATTGATTCATTGATGCGGGGCCGCAGTTGCAAAACTCAGCCACAGAATGAATCAAAGATGATTGAAACCATTTCAGCCTTCGAAACGGTTTCCTGATGCTTCTGGCTGAAGGAACCATGCTCGCATGCAAACTTGGGGCACCTCATTTCCATGGATAGCATGCCATAGATTCCTTTTTCTTGCTTCCCTGCCAACAGCAGCCACAAGGCTTCGGCGTCAGTTGATGACATCGGCAGCTCAAAACCAAGTTACAACGGATGGTCCCGCTTGTGGGCACTTGTTTGAAATCAAAACCAGTCTGCCTTCAAAGCAACCAACTCACAGAGGTGCACTCTCTTTGTTATTAAAGTTGCTTCTATGTGGAAAGACAACCCTATAGATTAATCAATTCATAAAGTGAGGCTTGACCATGGCTGGTGAGCGGTTGCCAGAAGCAACGTAACGCCGTACTTAATATCGGGGGGATCCGAGCCATTTTCCCGTTTTTTGGGGACCTCCCAAAGCAGGGGTTGTGGGATCAAATGGTTTTATCCCCACTTCTGTGATACTTTGGGGAATCTCTCTTTAGGAAAACATAGTCTTTGGGAAGCCCTTGCTGTTGTGTCACAGAAGTGGTCATTCCCCACAGCCCTGTCCCAAAGTGGAGTTCGAACGTTTCAACGGACGCCACCGGGGGGAACCCCGCGGAACGAGCGAGGGATGCCGTCGCCGCCGGTGCCCGGCACCGCTGCATCTCCATGCTGGAGGTGGGGCGAGTGGGGTGGAATCGGAGCGCAAGGGGTTTGGTCCCTTGCCATTTACCACGCCATTTGGATATGGCAAGAAAACTGCACCGGGTGTTTGAGTCCATGTTTGCATTACCACTTGGCCGGGAAGGAGAATTGGAACGAGAGTTGGCCGGGAGAAAAAGGGAACCCGCCAAATGGGGAGAGCCAACTGCCAAACGACTTTGCACTTGGGCCCTGGGAATGGGCCACCCTCCAACGGGCGGCTTCCTTTAAGAACAAAAGTCCCCCAAAACCGGTTCATTCCAATTCTCATTCCCTACCGATTTCGCACCAGCAAGTCTACCAAGCCATTTCCTTTAAGAACAAAAGTCCCCCAAAACTGGTTCATTCAACCACATGCCCTACGGAGTTCGCAGCAAGTCTACCAGGACAAGCAAATCATGTGGTGCCATTGGAGAGACATATTCGCGCCGACAATTTTGGACCCCTCCAAAATTTTGGCGTGCCTAATGTTGACCCCATATTCATCAACCCCAGTTTATTCATAGGGGGTGGGGCCCCTCCAAAAGTGGTCTGATTCCCCACATATAGGTTGACACCCCCCTGTTAGTAAACTGGGGTGGATGAATATGGGGTCAACATTGGGGCAAACCATTTGGTGCCATTGTCGGGTCCTATTTTGACCCACACCCAAGGCCTTAAGGGTTGGGGGTGTTAAGGTGCTCCTTTTGATCGGTGAGTTTGGCTAGACATAGATGGACTCCATTGGTTTAGATTATTTGTATTTTTCCAAAAGGACACCTATGGTTGGGAGCGTTAAGGTGCTCATGTTTTGCCAGGGATCCGTTTGGAACACATGATGTTTAGAATGCGATGCTTTGTTGTTTGGAATCGGCGATCTCAGCCTCGCTTGACACAGTGCGGTCAAAGAAAAGCGATTGGCCGCGCAATATTTCGTCACATAGGTGTACTTTTCTCCGGTAAGTTTGGTTAGACATAGGGGGGCTTAGATTAGTTGTATGCCACATTTGCCAGGAGCCCCTTCTATTTTTCCAAAAGATTCGCTATGTTTGATTGGTTCCTTGACAAGAGCTGGTATGGGACTGAGGCAAAATGCCAACTCTCAATACACATGTGCGGTGTCTTCGTCAACGTTCGAAATCGATACAGTTGCAGAAAAGCTGAGCTGACTGAAGCGTGAGTTCAACAGCCTGACTAGGAGGGGAACGAGTGCTAATGCTTTCAATAGCACAAATCCCGCCAAGTTGGTTTTTGCGCATTTTCTCTCCCACGAAACAGTGCATTTCGCACGGCAAAAGCAATTTTGTTCATTTTTAAAGTGCCGGACATGTCCGCGGAGTTTGAACAGCCAACCCTCTCCCGTCAACTCTGTATAGAAATTCCGAAAGCTGTGGATGCGAAATCGGAGATCCTAGGTCCGAGACAGCATGTGACAGCGAGGCTTTCGGAGCACATACCACATGTGCGACAGAACATGCGGCGTGCTCCCTTCAAAGGGTGAACGACTGCATGCCCTCGAATGAACCATGGCCTAGTGGTAAAGGCCTGCCACCTGCTCATGCCTGTTGAGCATGGTTTCATGTGAGGTTCGGTCAAGATATCCAGCAGTCCTTAATTAATTTGGGAAGGACACGGGAGGCTAACACAAATTTACTCGCTAATCTTCCCAATTTCAAGTATGCAAGGGAACATCATGTTCTGGCTGGGCCTCATGCGAGAACGGGCACCTCCAAAGGGAAAAAAGGGTTCCACGTATTGCCTAGAGACATCCTGAGCTTCAGCTAGGTAGCTATTTTCACGTCTGAGCCATTCGGTTGCTGTGGGATTCTCATGACGCAACAAGTTGCGTTGGAACTGGTTCGAACGAGCGCTAGTTGTGATGCAGCAAGGGCTCATTGGCAGTCATCGGGCACCAGACGTTTTGCTCAATGTTGGCCTGATCCACGCACCAATGCGTGATTAGCTACGTTTGACTCATGCGGGTTGCATCATCCAAGCCAACACATGTTGAGAATGTTATGATTTGGGTAGCCGTACCCACCCTTAGTGTGGTACACCCTCAGATTCAGGGCTCTTTGAAACTTCGGCAGATTGATTCAAAAGTCAGCCAAGTGACCCCCGGGACAGGGGACTCTGGGAGCGCATGTGGGATCGATCCGTGTAATGCATACCCCGGATTAATAAACTCCCCCCCCCTCCCCCCCCCCCCTCAAGGTCACAAGGTCAGGTCTGTCATGTTTTTGAGGGCCGCCCCAATAGTGGGAAGAAAAACCTTGTGGGAAGGTCAGGTGAGGGAACCTTGTGGGAAGGTCAGGTGAGGGAAGCTTGTGGGAAGGTCAGGACCTTGTGGGAAGGTCAGGTGAGGGAACCTTGTGGGAAGGTCAGGTGAGGGCACCTTGTGGGAAGGTCAGGTGAGGGAACCTTGTGGGAAGGGTCAGGTGAGGGAACCTTGTGGGAAGGTCAGGTGAGGGATGAGGGAACCTTGTGGGAAGGTCATGACTCGTGAGGCCAGGGAACCTATTGAGTGGATTTAAAGCAATCAGAGGGGTCTTTTGGAGGCTTTTGAAGAACATGGTTGATTAACAGGGGGTGCCAAATCTATAAGAATTTGGATGAGTAATTAGGGAGCTTGAAGGTAGCTTGTGAAAAAGTCATGTCAGGGAACCTTGTAGGAAGGTCAGGTCAGGGAACCTTGTGGGAACCTTGTGGGAAGGTCAGGTGAGGGAAACTTGTGGGAAGGTCAGCATGTAAAGCAAGCAGAGTTGTAGTTCTCTGGTTGATTAATTGGGGGTGCCAGAAGAATTTGGGGGGCTTGAAGGTCAGGTGAGTGGGAAGGTCATGACCTGTGAGGCCAGAGGGGTCTTTTGGAGGCTGTTGGAGAACATGGTTGATTAACAGGGGGTGCCAAATCTAAGAATTGTTGATGAGTAAGTAGGGAGCTTGAAGGTAGCTTGTGAAAAAGTCAGGTCAGGGAACCTTGTAGGAAGGTCAGGCCAGGAACCTTATGGGAACCTTGTGGGAAGTTCAGGTGAGGGAACCTTGTGGGAAGGTCAGCATTTAAAGCAATCAGAGTTGTATTTCTCTGGTTGATTAGTGCCAAATCTAAAGAATTTGGGGGCTTGAAGGCAGCTTGTGAAAAAGTCAGGTCAGGGAAAATTTTGGGAAGGTCAGGTCAGGGATCCTTGTGTCTTGTAAGAAGGTCAGGTGAGGGAACCTTGTGGGAAGGTCAGGGTTTAAAGCAATCAGAGGAGTCCTTTGATTAATAGGGGGGTGCCAAATCTAAGAAATGTTCAGTAATTAGGGGGCTTCAAACAGCTTGTGAAAAAGTCTGGTCAGGGAACCTTGTGGGAAGGTCAGGTTAGAGAACCTTGTGGGAAGGTCAGGATGAAACGCCATCGGGGCCTTTCTATGGTTGATTAATAGGGGGTGCCAAATCAAAGAATTTGCGGGCTTGAAGGTAGCTTGTGAAAAAGTCAGGTCAGGGAACCTTGTGTGAAGGTCAGGTCAGGGATCCTTGTGGCTTGTAAGAAGGTCAGGTGAGGGAACCTTGTGGGAAGGTCAGGGTTTAAAGCAATCAGAGGAGTCCTTTGATTAATAGGGGGGTGCCAAATCTAAGAAATGTTCAGTAATTAGGGGGCTTCAAACAGCTTGTGAAAAAGTCTGGTCAGGGAACCTTGTGGGAAGGTCAGGTTAGAGAACCTTGTGGGAAGGTCAGGATGAAACGCCATCGGGGCCTTTCTATGGTTGATTAATAGGGGGTGCCAAATCAAAGAATTTGGGGGCTTGAAGGTAGCTTGTGAAAAAGTCAGGTCAGGGAACCTTGTGTGAAGGTCAGGTCAGGGATCCTTGTGGCTTGTAAGAAGGTCAGGTGAGGGAACCTTGTGGGAAGGTCAGGGTTTAAAGCAATCAGAGGAGTCCTTTGATTAATAGGGGGGTGCCAAATCTAAGAAATGTTCTCAGTAATTAGGGGGCTTGAAGGCAGCTTGTGAAAAAGTCTGGTCAGGGAACCTTGTGGGAAGGTCAGGTTAGAGAACGTTGTGGGAAGGCCAGGATGAAACGCCATCAGAGGGGCCTTTCTATGGTTGATGAAAAGGGGGTGCCAGCTCAAAGAATTTGGGGGCTTGAAGGTAGCTTGTGAAAAAGTCAGGTCAGGGAACCTTGTGGGAAGGTCAGGTCAGCGATCCTTGTGTCTTGTAAGAAGGTCAGGTGAGGGAACCTTGTGGGAAGGTCAGGATTTAAAGCAACAGGGGATCAGTAATTAGGGGGCTTGAAGGCAGCTTGTGAAAAAGTCTGGTCAGGGAACCATGTGGGAAGGTCAGGTTAGAGAACCTTGTGGGAAGGTCAGGATGAAACGCCATCGGGGCCTTTGTATGGTTGATTAATAGGGGGTGCCAAATCAAAGAATTTGGGGGCTTGAAGGTAGCTTGTGAAAAAGTCAGGTCAGGAAAACCTTCTGGCAAGGCCAGGATTTATAGCAAATCAGAGAATTCTTTTGAAGGCTATGGTTGTTTTTTTGTAGGGGGTGCCAAATCTAAGAATTGTTGATCAATAATTAGGGGCTTGAAGGTAGCGGATGAGAAAGTCATGTCAGGCAACCTTGTGGGAAGGTCAGGATTTAAAGCAGCGGGGTCTTTCTATGGTTGTAGCTTGTGAAAAAGTCAGGTCAGGACAACCTTGTGGGAAGGCCAATGGGATTTGAAGAAGATTACATTGAGAATCTAGATTTGCTCATGAGCTTTTGATGGCCCTCCAATGGGGTTAATTGCAAAAACTGATGCAGATCCCCTTGAGGATGCATCAAGTTGGCACAGTTTCCCACTGGGCTTGAATGAAATTTGAGGTTGAGAAGACTTGCTTGGACCACGAGCAAGCACTTGAACAAGTGCAGGGCCTGGCCAAGACAAGGCATATCAGCAGAAAGCGCACCCCATTAATTAACCTGCCCTGCCAACACTCTGGCAGAAAGGTTGATTAATGGGGGGTGCACTGGTGGAATT